TTAATTTATAATATATATATATATATATATATTTTGGGACCAAAATCAAAATTCTCTCACTTTACATAAACTAAAAATATATTTTAGCCATACAATTATTACTAATATACCTATTTTTTTTACTTCTAAATGTAAAATATTGATGTGATTATAAATCTTTTTTTTTATCCTTTTTATATATTATATTCATAAAAGAGCAATCATTAGATTAGCCTAAGGGTTGGGGTAGTTAGAAATATAGGAACCTAAATTCAATCCTTATTGTGACAATTTTTGTAATTTTTTATATCTTTATAAAATTAATAAAAGAGTAAAATATATTTTTGATCTCTATAGAGTTTATGAAGCTTGGGTTTAGTTCTTTAAAATTTTTATTGTATTTTGATCCTTCTAATTTGGAAAAGCACCACTTTTGTCGTTCAAAATTATTTATATAACACTTTATAATAAACAATAATATAAAAATAAATTGAATAAAAAATATAACATACTTTTTTTATAACATTGTTATTTATTTAATATAATAAAATATGTTATTTTTAATTAAATCATCCTGTTATAAATATTTATATTTTAAAATATTTATATATAATGACAAGTTATTAATTTGAGTACTATCAATTTAGATTCTCTTAAATAAAGTATTGAAATAATCAATGAGATTCGGAAATAAAATTTAATCATCAACAAAATTAATATATATTTTTATCGATAATATAATTATAAAAAAATATAAAAAATCTAGGACTCATAAAATATGGAGACAGGAGTTAAGGAGCGTGCGGGTTGGTCATTACGAAAGCCCAAACCCAACCTGTGACGAGGGCCGAGAAACGCTCCCGAAGCAGAAATTCGAATTGATGGGTAGGGCGCGAAATGTGAAGTGAAAAAATAAAAAAGAATTAATTGAAATGGATAGCGACAAAAAGAGTGTGGCTTGTTCTGTGTTTGCGTGTGGGTTTTGAAATTTGAATTATTGTGATTGAATCGAAATAGAGAATCAAGTATCAAGGAGGTGAGGGGGTTGGAGCGAGAAGATGAAGAAGGGACATGGCGGTTTGGAGCTAAAACAGAGAATAGTGAGCGCTCTGAACAAGGTGGGAGATCGCGACACGCAGCAAATAGGGATGGAGGAGCTGGATCGCGTGGCGCAGGGTTTAAGGGCGGAAGGAATATGGGCCTTCTTGTCGTGCATACTGGAGACCGAGTGGGAGCAAAAGGCCTCCATCAGAAAGGAGTGTGTGAGACTGTTGGGGACGTTGGCGACCTATTACGAGGGCCTCCTTCTTCCCCATCTTCCCAAGATGGTTGCCAGCATTGTTAAGCGCCTCAAGGATCCCGACTCTCTGGTCAGGGATGTCTGCGTCAACACGGTGGCTCTTCTCGCCTCCAAGTTGGGCCTCAAAGACGTCCACGACAGGGATAAGGTCTTTGTTGTTCTAGTCAGGCCCATTTTCGAGTCCCTCGGGGAACAGAACAAGCACGTTCAGTCCGCTTCTGCTCTCTGCCTCGCCAGAATCATCGACAACACGCACCATCCTCCTCTTTCCCTTT